AAACAAATCTAACAAATGAAAAAAAGTTTAGAAACATATCATAAAAGTTTAAATTATCAGAAGAAAAAAGTGATAAAGCTTAGATTAAAGAAAGGTGAAGAAATTGAAACCGAACCAGAGAGAAGCGCACTGTAGCTCGTCGGAGACAGGAGTTCACAGTAGGGAGAGCTGCTGGACTGATGGCTGCCGCTGATTTCCGTCCGGGATCACAGAGGTCGGAATCGGACTTCCATGCCTCGATGCTAGCCGATCGACGGTTAAGGCCAACCACCGGCCCTGCTCTGTGTCCAGATGCTGATCGAAGATACGAGCCCACTGCCGGCAGTTCTGGTTGAAGAAGAAAGTCGTCGCCGGTTACGTTGCTCTGCTGCGTCGTCCTGCTCCGTTCTTGTATCAGATCCGATCGAAGTTCTCCAACCCCTTCTTCCCAATCCCAATCCGTCTTCCGCCTCTTATCCTCCTCTATCAACATTAAAATTTCTCAATATTGTAAATTAGCCCCCATTTTTCTAATATGTTTGCTAATTAATCCTTTCCTTATAATTAGACTCTAAAATCAAACCAAAACACAAATTAATCTAAAATAATAATAATAACCAAGATAATGCAATTTAATATAAAAACAAAGTCAATAAGTCTAACAAAATATAACAACACATGCACAAATAATAGACTTATCACTTTTTTACCATGAACCACAAAATAAACACAAGGTTAACATGGAATTGAAACATTTTGGGCTGCTACACTGTTTGGGCCATAACTTTGACTTTAGGTATCCGATTTCAGTAGTCTATCCCTTACCGCATTGAAAATGGTTAAGAATCTCTACCTTATTATTCTACATCAATAATATTAATAGTTCTAGCGTTTTCATCCCTCTCATTTTTAATTTGTTGATTTGTGTTTATATCATATGTCTTGATTCTATTTAGATACTTTAGTGAGTTTAGTCCTTTAATTTTAACTTATAACTTAAAAATTTAACATTAAAAATTATAATTTCTAGTTTGTAATTATTCAATGTAAAAAAATTATTTTAATCCTTAATTTTTAGTTTTTATCTTTTAAATTTAGAATTCATTTTTAATATCATATATATTTGTGCGACCAAACAATAAAATTCAAATTGAGGTTTTTTTATTTCCAATTTCATTACCTCAATTTCGTATACTAAATGATGCCTAATTTTATTATTTTTTATAATTAATATATTTAAATTAAATGTCAATAAAATCAATACCGACAGATAAAATATTGTTGCTAAAACTATAAACAATACCGACAGATAAATATTTGTTGCTAGTACTATAAACAATACAGACAGATAAATTTTTTGTTTCTAATACTATAAACAATACTGACAGATAAAGTTTTGTCGTTAAAACTATAAGCAATACCGACAGATAAAAGTTTGTTGCTAAAACTATAACCAATAGCGACAGATATTACTCTTTCTGTGGGTCAAATAGTTTTTACCTTCAAATAATTTTATCTGTCGGTAATATTCTATTTTTAGCGACAAATAAGGTTTCTGTCACTAAGCATCTGTCGGTAATGCCCACTTTTTTTGTAGTGCAATCATCGACAGTTAACTGATCACACTACCGTATTACACTGTCATCATTTCCCATCACACGCACTATCAATGTGTATTCTTACATCACATTGTCATTAATCCTAATATACTCATATTTTAGTCTTAAAAGATTTGAGACTCATATTCTGGAATTTCCATACTTTTTACTCTTATCAATGAGGATTTCTTAAATTATCATATAGTAGTAATTTTTCTTTTATTAATTTGCATGCCAATAATCCACGTAACCAAAATGAATTGTTCTTTCTCGGTCCTAAGGTCTACACGTTAAATGTGGACATTCTCACATTTTTCATAAACTGACTAGTGAAACTTTTTTTTTTGCCAAAAGCTCAATTGACTTACGATCTCAATGCACTAGCATAGACTAAGACAATGGAAGAATTTGCCAACAAAAATAAGAGGGCGAATGAAGAAATACATTTTATAAATCTCGATTGAAATAAAAAATAGACAAAAATAATCTAATGATGTGTCGACCAAATAAACAAAAATAAGTTTACATCACGTTTCATATTTTAAAATAATAACAAAAATGATTTGGGACTAGCATGCTAAATTTACATTACAAACTAGTATGCTCGCATATTTTCTAAACTTTGACATCTAAAAAATAAAATATTATTTATTTTAAATTCTCTAATGATATATGATGTGTTTGATAAATATTTTTTAGTATAAAATATCTCTTTTTGAGAGAAAAGTTTTAGTTTTAATATTGATGTACATGTACTAAAAATTATATAAACCTTTATTTTGAGATGTAATAAAATAGAAAATGATGAATACTTTGTTAGAAACAACATTAGGCTTTCTTTTTTAAAAGATTAATAAAGTTCATAAACTTTTTTTAGATGTATAATTAATTATGTATGAAACATATTATAAAAAATATATGTTAAAATGGTGTAACACATTAACTCTAAATGAATACAATACTTGAATGAAATGTACTACGGAGTAGTTCTTAAAAATAACTTTGAAACATTTATGAAAAAGCAGAAGAAAAAAGAGATATAATAAGAAGAAAGAGGGAACATTGGTGCAAATTTTCAAAATCATAGGAGGAGGAGAATATTGATATAAAATTTTAAAAGTACTCCGAATGAAAACCAAGGTAAAGACCAAGGTATTGCGCAAAATATAATGTACAACTGGATGTACTTTCCTTTTTATACATCATACGGAGTAGTAAACTTGTAATTGAAAAAATGTTTCCGAATGAACGCGTAGTTGTTTCAAAATAAACACTATGTTGTTTCTGAATGAACGCATTTCATATTGAACACAACGTCGTTTCTGATTAACCATTAATAAGTAGACTTCAAAATGGACACTACGTTTAAAAATGAACATTTGGTTCATTCGAAATTGATGGGTAATAACCCATGGATACCACCCGGTTGGTTCGCCCGACTGAGTGGTGACAGAAGATGACAGAGCACATCCTTCTTAGACCGGGTTGTAAGACCGGTTGGTTGGAAGGATTAAACGCACAGCAACTGCAGCTAGATCCTCGAAGTACTCTTATGTAGCCGGTCAGACAAATGACCGGTTGGATAACCAGAGACGTGCTTGACGTGCTTAATTTTGTTATAAATACCCCTAAAACCCTCATTTGTGAGGTATGTTTTAATTAACCTACACGGCTTGTACTTTGTAATAGTCCTAGTATTATCAATAACAAACCGGGTTACAGGTGTTTCCACCTACAACCCCTCCGATTACTTTTACTTAGTATTTGCGTGGTAATTTACACCATCAAATTGGCGCCACCCGTGGGACCTATTACAAAAGTCATGGCAAGCAATCAGGAAACTGTCATCTCACAAATATCTACTCCCGCTGAGAACGTCACTTCATTCCCGGGAGGAAGTACCCAACCATCAAGCCAAATTCCTACCCCCATTATTACCGTTCCACCACCTATCCCATTCACTTCCCCCGTGAACCCTGTTCCTGTTTTTCCTCCCAATTTCCCCGGACCCATGGATCCGATGTATTCCCAGGCTCTTCAGAGTTTCGGACATTTCATGTCCATGTTTCAGCAACCGGGAGGATTTTCACCTTTCATCCGGGATTGTACCCACAATCCTCGCCTCAAACTAACGTCATTCGCCCGATCGTCCCGACAAACCTAATCGGGGAGATGGATAAAGCAGGTCCATCCCGGTCCAGAAGGAGCCGGTCCCGCAGGTCTCAGACAAAGGTGACCTCAGATGGGGATGTGCGTTCAGTCCATAGCAAGGATGAGGACTGGGACGTTCCCCAAGCACTCAAGAAGTTGAAGGGAAAAGCTGTCCAACCTGAAGGGTCCAAGAAGTCGGCCTTTCAGAGACTTGGCCATGATGGCCGAAATCAGAACCGGTCAGCAAAAGAGCGGCTTGGGGTAGAAACCATCCCAGCTAGTACCTTTAATCGTGCAGGGAGAGGAGCCGGACGACCTGGTCAGACCAGGCGAACGGAACCACCCCCACGCGATGAGCCCCAGCATAGCCGGGCGCCGCGAGAGGAAGAAGCCGAAAGCCACCCAGGCACACGACCCGCTCTCATGTAGAACAACCTCGGGATCGTGTGGGCCGGGTCGAGGCACGTCTGGAGAAACTACAACGCCGGGTAGACCGGGAAGAAAAGAAGAAGATCCTGCTGAACGAATCTCCGTTCACAGACCGGGTTCATGAAACCCCATTTCCAAAGAAGGCAAAACTCGAGGTCCCGAAGTTCACCGGGAAGGAGGACCCGGAAATTCACGTCAAAACCCTCCATCAGAGCGGGCGGATGATGGGTCTTTCCGGGGATGAGAAATGTTTGCTTTTCTTTCAAACCCTTCGCGGCCGCGCCGCTGAGTGGTTTCATAACTTACCGGCCGGTGAAATCGACTCTTTCGATGAACTGGCTGAGGTGTTTCAAGAAAAGTTCAAAGAAAACTGTACAGAGAGGAAAAAATTTACCTACTTGAGTACAGCCGGGCAACGAGAGCACGAGGATCTGACAAAATTCCTTACCCGGTGGAAGGATGAAGTTGACAAGGTGGAGGAGATGGACGACAAAACAGTCATGTCCCTCCTTGTGTCTGGGCTCCGATCCGGAGAGTTGTATAAGGAATTCTGGAGAAGGCCTCCCCAGTCCTACCAAGAGGCCTACAACACAGCCTGGGATTATGCTGACGCTGAAGCACAGGTGTCATCTAAGAGGGAGGCCGAGCAGGGCCATTCAAAGGAAAAATTTCCTTGAAAAAGGAAATTGCATTGCCCGGTAAGATAAGAGCAGGAGTAATGGAGGTAAAGCCGGTCAAATCTGAAAAGAAACCGACCGGCGAAAAACAATGGACGGAGAAGTATTGCTCCTTTCACAAAACTGATTCCCATAACACTGCAGAGTGTAACAGTGTGAAAAGAGTAATAAAACAGATGATTGAGGCCGGTGAGATTGATCCGGAATATTTGGCTCAGGCCAAGCAAAAGAAGAACCAGTGGGTCAGACCTGAAGGACAACCGGCCGAGCAAAACAAAAAGAAGAAAACAGTCGGTAAGGAGCACTTGCAAGTCATCTACGGCGGACCAAAAGGGGGAGACTCTGCTTCCCAAAGAAAGAAGTGGGGACGAGAACTCTACGTTGGTACGGTGGCCCTAAATCCCCGGTCGAAACAAGAGAGGGATACGGAGGAACCGGCAGACATTGATGAAGCTGCCCAACAAACGGTGACCATTGGGGGCCAGCTGCCCGGGCATGATCCCGTATGTCTCAAGGAAAAGGACTTTGAATGGGTGAATAGAGAACTCACCCAAGTCCTTGATCGAATGGTAATGGATACCAATCGACGTGCCGGCATGGAGAGGTATAATGCTCTTCCACGTTGCCCGGTAGGTCAATTGATACCCATCGGGCATCAGATTACGCAGTTCGTGGACTTGGGGCTTCTGCATATACGACGGTTGCTCTTGGAGCAACCGGTCGTCTAGCTGGATGAAGCCCTCGTCCCCGGGTTGGGCAACCGAGACCACTTGCGCCGCGGAAGGAGAGGGAGCGCAAGTGGGGGCATATACCGACTTCTTCTGTGGAGAAGTAGCCGGGTGCTCGGAATCAGAGGACGAAGAAGAAGAGGAACCGGAAGTCTGAGACCGGTCACCAGAATTATAAGAGTGGACAGAAGGGTTCTGGTTGTCTTCGCGGTCAGACATGACTCAAAGAAGAGGAAAGAGACTTACTTGGAATGAGAGGATTCGGAGGACTCGGAAATAGTAGAAGCAGCCGGGCGGTTTTTCAATTGGAGATTTGCAAGTGAGGAAATTCTAGGGAGAAGCTCGCTTTATATAGGAAAGATGCCGCCCAGACGGACGAATGAAATAATGACACGTGGCAGCTAAAATGATTTGCCATCATAACTTCTCGGGGAGACGAAACGGCACTATAAATCAGCGGCTCCGTACCCGACTTCGAGAAAATTCTCCCGCTTTGGACACCCGGTTTTTGAAAATTCAAAATTCAAATTTCAAATCTCAAATATTTCGGGTTGGCGCTGGATTTCCGAGATGATTTTCCCGCCAAAAGGTGACTGGGCAGTTCAAATTTCAAGAGATAATCACATGTGCTTCTCGCTCCTGATGGTCCCCACAGGACCGGGAATCGGAGGACTCCTTGATGGGTAATAACCCATGGATACCCCCGGTTGGTTCGCCCGACTGAGTGGTGACAGAAGATGACAGAGCACATCCTTCTCAGACAGTGTTGTAAGACCGGTTGGTTGGAAGGATTGAACGCACAGCAACTGCAGCTAGATCCTCGAAGTACTCTTATGTAGCCGGTCAGACAAATGACCGGTTGGATAACCAGAGGCGTGCTTGACGTGCTTAATTTTGTTATAAATACCCCTAAAACCCTCATTTGTGAGGTATGTTTTAATTAACCTACACGGCTTGTACTTTGTAATAGTCCTAGTATTATCAATAACAAACCGGGTTACAGGTGTTTCCACCTACAACCCCTCCGATTACTTTTACTTAGTATTTGCGTGGTAATTTACACCATCAGAAATGAACAATTTATTACTCCCTCTGTCCCCCTAAGATCTTCTCATTTTGACTTTTTGTGGTTTTTAAGTAGAGTTGAAAAAGGTGAAAGTTTACCATAATACCCTTAATGAAAATGGGTGAAGTGTGTTAAATGAGGTGGGTGAGATGTAATAAATAAAGTAAGTTGGGGTAGTTGTGGTATTTTAATTGTTAAAACATTAAATGAGAAGATCTATTGTGGACAAAAAAAACGGCTATTGGAAAGATCTATGGGAACGAAGAGAGTAATTCAACATGGACATTCTATTAATTTAAAATAAATATTTTGTGGGTCCAAAATAAATTTTGTCTTCCAATAAAGTTCACCATCTTTTCAAATGCTATATGCACACCACCAAACAAACCCCACTTTAACCCCATATATATATACTCTCTTTTTTCTTTTTTAATTTTTTAATAATTGACCACTTTCTCTCTCTTCTTCCACAATTGCAGTCTCTCCATCTTCCTCTCACCATCTTCTTCATCCCTCCTCCCCGTCGACCTCTTTTTTTTTAATTTCATTTTCAGATTTCATGCTCCAATTTTAATTGTTTTTTACTTCAATTAACTGCGATTGTGTCTTCTTTCATCCCTCCCACCATCTTCGATCATTCCTCTTTGCCACAATCCATTGTCCCCTCTTTGCCACAATCAATCGTCCCAATTTCACCATCACAGATCGTCCCTGTTTACTAGTGGGTTGCTCAATCAAGGTATTTTTTTTACTTTCCTTATATTTTTATAAATTACGGTTTTTTAATTAGGTTTTTTTTTTACTTTTTCTTAATAGTTGAGAAAAATAAAAATTGTGTATTAATGTCTGTGAATTTGCCTGGAAGGATAATTGTCTCCATTTAATATTTGTGAATTTTTTATTAGCATGTGAAATTTTTTATTTGTAGTATGTGATTTTTTTGTTGGTTGTCTTCACTTTCTCCAATTGCTCGTTTTTGTTAATATGTGAAATTTTGTATCTGTAGTTTCATCCCTGTTTATGATGAGTTGTACTTCATTCCTCGACTGATTGAGAGATGACAGAGTAAAGGCAAATATAAATGTCATCACCTTAAGTATGTATATATGTGTATAACCTCATGTTTGTTTGACTTGGACTCACAATCACTCACACTGTAAACATTACTGTGGAGAGGTTTATTACCTGTGTGTACTAGAATGAAGTACTTTTAAGTTTTATTGCCTTGCACTTTTTTTTGCATCTACTTTACTAGGTGATGGTGATCTTTTGATTGGTAGATCATCGCCCATTGACAGGATAATGGATAATATGCAACTCAATATGCATGATGAGGTTATGATGAGCGGGACTTCGTTTCTCGACTTATTGAGGGATGATGAAGTAGAAGAAAATCCAAATGACGAGTGTCGTCAAAATATCAATGATGTCATCACCTCTGGTATATTTATTTGTGTATAAAGATATTGTGTATAATTTTGTGTTTATTTGGTCTCGACACACAGCCACTAACTTTCTCTGAACATAAGAGTATAGAGGTTTAGTATCTGTGTGCCTATATAGGAAACAAAACAAACTACAATTAATTTTAATGCCTTGCAAATTATTTTGCAGCTCCTTTAAAAGGTGATGGTGACCTTTTGATTGGTGGTCCATTGTCTGTTGACGGGATTAAGGATGATGTGCAGCCCAATATGCATGATGAGTGCCATGAAGATACAAATTAAATGATGTTCACAGTCCTCAACCCATACGTGTGGAGCCTAGGGTGGGCATGCATTTTTGTTCTTATGAGGAGCTTTACAACTTCTACCTCAATTATTCACGACAACTAGGGTTTCCAGTCAGGAAAAGAAGTTCAAGAAAAGATATAGATGGAATAGTACGTAGTGTTACCATAGTATGTGGTAGAGAAGGTCATAGGGCAAGTCGCAGTCAAAACACTTTGAAGCCACAACCACTTATGCAATGTGGTTGTGAAGCACGCTTAACTGCAACGTGTAGCCCCAGTGGAGAAGTAACGATTTCAGTGGTTAAGTTGGACCATAACCACGCTCTTAGTCCTTCCAAAGCTCGACTTTGGCGGTGCAATCGAAAATTACCTGAGCACATTAAAAGAAGACTTGAAGTAAATGATGCAGCAGGCATTCCCCTTCACAAAAGCTTTAATTCTGCAGTAGTTGAAGCCGGAGGCTATGATCAACTCCCTTTTATTGAAAAGGATTGTAGAAATTATGTGGAGCAAGTTCGTCGGTCTAAGATCAGTGCGGGGGATGCGATGGCAATTCAAGGATTTTTTAACAAAATGCAAGCGAAAAGTGATGGGTTCTTCTACAACATTGATCTTGATGAGGAGTCAAGATTACAAAATTTATTTTGGGCTGATAAACGATCTCGCGCTGCATATAAGTACTTCGGCGATGTTGTCACTTTTGATACAACTTACTTGACAAACAAGTACGACTTGCCCTTTGCCCCATTTGTTGGTGTCAACCACCATGGGCAGTCTGTTCTCCTCGGGTGTGGTTTAGTAGGTTACGAAGACTCAACGTCTTTTGTATGGCTTTTCAAAACATGGTTGGAATGTATGGGGGGTATTCCGCCACGTGGAATAATTACTGACCAATGCCAAGCTATGCAAAAGGCAATTGCTAATGTATTTCCAAGCACCAAACACCGTTGGTGCTTGTGGCATATTATGAAGAAAGCACCTGAGAAGTTTTCAGGATCCCTAGCTAAAGATATGATACTTTCTAAGTTGAATGCTCTTGTTTACGATACCTATGACATTGCCGAGTTTGAGTTGGGTTGGCAAGACATGATTAAGTGTTGTGGACTGCAAAACAATGATTGGCTAAGAGGTTTGTATATGGAGAGACATCGATGGATTCCTTGTTTTTTGAAAATGTCTTTCTGGGCAGGTATTTCTAATGTAATTACATAATGGAATTTTTTCATAAATATTTTATCTACTATAAATTGTGTATGCTTTATTAACATAATACCTTGTCACAGGTATGTCAACAACACAAAGGAGTGAAAGCATGAACTCCTTTTTTGATGGATATGTTCATTCAAAGACATCTTTGTCGCAATTTGTGGAACAGTATGAGCGAGCTTTGCGAAAAAGGGTGGAAGATGAGTTCCATGCAGATGCCCAGTCATTTGGAAAAAGTATTCCTCTAGTGACAACCTTTCTTATGGAGAAACAAGTTCAAGAGGTGTATACGATGTCTAAGTTCAAAGAATTCCATGCCGAATTAACTGGTAAAATGTATTGTGACATCGTTAGGGAGGAAGAAGGATGCACATACATAGTGGATGAGGAGTTTTCTAAAAATGGAATTGATATTCGAAAGAGATTTAAGGTATCATTTGATAAGAAGACCGACATAGCAACATGCAATTGTCACTTATTTGAGTTCAGAGGAATTGTATGTCGCCATTGTGTTTCTATTCTCATTCGTAATGGGATAAAATTTTTACCAGAAGCATACATCTTGGACAGATGGCGCCGCGATGTCCAAAGGACTTACACAAGAGTGAAGATGGAGTACGATGGTTTAATTTGCACTGACGCACAAAGGCGATTTGATATGTTGTGTAACAAGTTTCAGGAATTGGCAAACAGACTTGCAGATGATGAAGAATGTACAAAGAAGTGGATTGACTTGATCGAAGGGGAATTACAACAAAAGATTTGCCCACCCTCTAAAGGAGTACGAAGAGATACTTTGAATACCGACGAGGTAGAACAAGTGATAAACATCAAAGACCCAAAATCCTCAAAACGGAAAGGCGCTCCGCGAAAGAATCGATTGAAGTCCACATTCGAGAAAAAGAGTCGAAAGCGAAAAGCGAATAACAAAGCCTTTGGGGAGCCAGGAATGAGTGTACGTGTCCAAGAGGAGGATTTGCGCCATGCACAACAACAATATAGATGGCCTGCACAAGGTGAAGATGGTATTTTTGACCTCACTGTGAGTAATTTGGATCTCAATTTAAGTATTATGTAATACAAATTATGTATCATTTTGATTTTTGAAAATGTAAGATGTTTATTTTGATTTTTGGAAATGTAAGATGTTTATTTTTGGGAACTAAAAGGAACAACAACATCCGACCTCCCCTTACCATGGGCACGAGCCTTTGAAGCACTAGGGTAATGTTGTTGTTCCTTTTAGTGTTGTGCACCTACAACTTTCCATATTATTTCTCTGTATATGTGCAGCACCATTTACAATTTACTCCCTTGCTTTAATTATTGTAAAGTAGATCATTACCCAATCTCTCATCTTTGTTTTCACCGTATGAGCATCAAATACTTTAACAATGTTGTCAAGTATTATAATGTTTTGTAATAAATTTTTTGTGTATTGTATTTGAATTTTTTACTCTTATTACACAATTTGTACTACGAATTTTGAGATATTTTGGGAGGCATTTTTAGAACTTTTTTGCCATGGTTTTGACCTAAAAAACTTCTGTTTTTGCCAAAAACGACCCAGCAATGGAGGTAAAAGTTAAGACCCATTAAATTTTGTCAAACCCAAGAGCAGCAGCAATGGACTTTTTAAATTTTTTGTTTAATTTTTTTTAGTAAAGTTTATTTTATTGTATATAATTAATTTTTTATAAAATAAAATTTCACACAACCAATTAAAAAAATTTACATTCAATAAATGTTTGAAAATAAAATTCATTAATTTTTGTCATCTCAAATAGTCTGCCAAAAAATTTGGGGCACCACCCCTGGATAATAATGCTCGCATCTAACTGAATTTCGGGATCCGCCACTGATATAAACTACAAATAAAAAAAATTCACATACTAAGAAACAAATTTCACAAACATTAAATCAAATAAAAAATAACCTTGATTGGCCAATTTATAGAGAAAATAAACACAATCACAGTTAATGATTGAAGTAAAGAACAATTAAAGTTAAAGAATGAAATTTGAAAATGAAACAAAAAAAATAAAAAGAGAAGAAGAGAGAGGGACGAAGAAGATGGAGGGAGAAGGAACATGGGGTCAAGGGATATTAAAGAGGGGAGAGAAGAAAGTCAATTATCTTAAAAAATAAAATATATGGGGTTAAAGTGGGGTTAAATGGTGGTGTGCCTGTAGCATTCCCCCTAGTCCCATATATGCGACGAGACACTCTCTGTTGCTCACAGATATATTGACAGTAATATGCTCTCCACGAGGTTTTCAATTTGAACCGAGACGCTTTGCTGCGATCCGACGCCTGACATAATGAGCCGGCGCGACAGTGGCGGACTCACGGTTTGCTGTGCAGCTGCGGCGGCGGCGGCTGCTGCGGCGGAAGGAGAGGAAACCTCTGGAAATGTGCAGGCGCCATGGGAGAGTGATGCGATGATGAAAGCGTTGAAGATGATAGCTCCGGACGAGCTCCGCTGCACCTATTCGGACGGTAAAACNCCGGAAGTAGCGTTTTTGTAAAGGGGAGAAGAGAGAGGCAAGCCGAGGAGTTGTCTGATGATGCCACAAGGAAGAAGAAACCTAGAGTAACGGGGGATGTAGAAGGCGAGAGGGCAAAATCTGTGAGAAATACGAAGAAACCCCAGAGTGATAGGGAAAAGGGCAAAAATGAGGCCTTAAAGTGTGTCCCAAAGGATTCCTTTTCCAAAAGAGATGGAAAATCACTGGAGAAGATAAAACTACCAGGGGGAGAAGGGTGGAAGGATGGTTGTTCAGAGGGTGGCAGGTTGATTCCACAAGACGGTGCAGCAGGAAAGAAGAGGTCATTGTCACATGAGGTGAAGAAAATGGGGCAACAAAGTGAGAATGTTGTATCTCCCGATGCCCTAGGGAAGAAAGATGATGTGGTTCCACTAAAATCATCTGGAAAGAGTATCAGAGCCGGACATATGTCAGACATAAAAGATAAAAAGTCGGAAGAGAATAAATCTATCAAGGCAAAAAAGGGACACAGTGGAAATATAGCAGATTATGACACCATAGAGAATGAGGGTAGACAATCAAAATCTTCATTGAGAAGAAACCATAAAGCCACTGCTGTTGTTAATGACTCACAAGGTAAAAGCAAGCTTAAACAAGGAAAAATTGATCTGAGGAGGAAGCACTTCGCTAATGATGTGAGTTCATTGACCCCATCTTGGTGATAATTCTTTGAGTTTCTTTTGAATTTATGCATGTCCTGATATGATTAAATACGCAGGATCCTAGTGATGATTGCCAGATGTGTCATCAATGCATGAAGAGTGATAGAAAAGTTGTTCGTTGTCGCAGTGGATGCCGCAGGCGCTATTGTGTTCCATGTATTTCAAGATGGTAATGAGGTTCTATTAGGGCCTAACTTTGAAAAATTTATTCATCTTAATTCCGCTAGGTTTGTCCAAAAATTTGAGTAATGACAATTTCTAGAAGATTTTGTTATATACTCTAGGCTTTATCACATTGTTGCTATTCCTGGGTCCTACAAAGTTGGGGTCTTAGTGAGCCTCTCATCTTCAACAAAATTTGAGAATTTATGGGTAAACATGAAGACGACCAATATAGGTTTATTGTGCATGTTTGGATAAGTTGATCTAAAATGTTTCTGTTGTACTTATTCAGAAATTTCACACCATTATTTTGAGGTTGCTAAAACTACTCTAGGCCTCTAGGGCTGTGATCTTCCTTTAATGGAAGATGCAGTAAAATCTCATCCCAATTTGATTATTATTCTTTGTATTATCGACCTGAACTTTACCTAGGGAATGCAGTAAATTCCTTATTGCATATATATATATATATTATTCAATATCCTGCTGAATCCTACATGATACTTTTTGCGGTCAGAGTAGTTTATGAAGGTTTCCTGAACTTAAAAGTTCTAGTTATGGAATTAAAGTATTGTAGATTATTACTCAGTCCTTTCATGGATTAAATTTCCTTTCTTTTTAGGAATATGCAGATTCTGCACTTGGGGTTTAGTTGCTAGCGGCAGTTTGTGTGCTCCTTTGTTTCTTTGCACTTTTTTACCATTCATTTGCTCTTTGCTTCTTGTCATGCTCTGTGCTTTCCGTGTTGTTTGAGCTGGGGTTTCTTTGAAACAACCTTTCTACTTTCGAGTTGAGGTAAGGTCTGCGTACACACCCTCCACGGACTCTACGTTCGTGGGATTCTCGTTGGTTGTTGTAATTGTTGCAGATTCTATGATTTCATGTGGAAGTGAAAGTATCCATCAATATTATAACCTTTTTACAACCCCATACGTACTATTATGTTGAAATACATATTTTGCAGTACTCTACGGAGTGCTTTTTTTTCTGTCCTTGCTTGTCTCTCGTAGTTTCTACCTCACTAATGCTACTTTTTGCTAGCAGGCCAGCACCACTGCCACCTCAGCACAATTTTTGACAATCAGAAATACGTAATATACTCTAGAGGGAGTAATACTTTTGTGCACTATGGGCACTGATTCCTCATCTTAGTACTTTTGGTTGATACTAGTATGGATTTTCAAAATACTTTTTGTGCATAGCTTTAAGCAGGAAAGAGTTATAACCTTGATCCGATGCTATGATTGTAATTACTAAACTGCATGCTCATCAAACTCTAAAACCTTTCCCCTGTTCCATGTCCAACATTATTTGCTTTTTAATGTGTGATATAGGTACCCTAACCTCACAGAGGAAACAATAGCGGAGAAGTGTCCATTTTGTCGAGGAAATTGCAATTGCAAAGATTGTTTACGTCGTATTACCAAGGTTGTTTTTCAGCAGTTACACTTTGGCATTTTCTCTGTGAAAAAAAGCTTCTCGTCACATATGCACTAGTCATTTCAATTTTTCCTTCATGGTTTACTGCAGGATTCTGTATATGTAGGAATACCACAAGATTTTAAAGAAAAGAGAAGCCATCTTCAGTATCTTTTAAATGCGCTCTATCCGTTTCTCAAAAAGTTTTATCTTGATCAAATGACTGAAACGGAGATAGAGGCCAAGATTCAAGGTATTAATCATAGGTATTCGGTGTCCCTACTAAGTATGAATGAAAGTAGTACAAAAGTTCTTATTTAACATGCAATGTCATTATTTGTGCTGGAGTTTTGTATCAGGTATTCTGTTGTGATAGGTTATGCGAAGGCAGCTAATTGACCAGTTTATCTGAGTTTTTATATTAGGGGTTTTTTAACCATTGCCCAAGGGCAGTGGTTAAAAATATAGAATATGGAAAATTATCATTTAATCAGCATGATGAATTGCATTTAATGTGCTCATTTAAAATGCTAATTTAATGATAATTTTCCATAGCGTGTATTCATAACCATTGTCCTAAGGGAAAATGGTTAGCAAAACAACAACAACAACAACAACCCAGTTGAATCCCACAAGAGTAGGGTCTGGGGAGAGTGTGTGTACGCAGACCTTACCCCTACTCGAAAGTAGAGAGGCTGTTTCCAAAGAGACCCCCGGCTCAACGTCGAAAGTTGCATTGCTTGACTAACTGCTACTTCATTAATTAAAGAAGCGCAGACAGTTTAGAAATCCATTTTGATTTATTCCATCACACTCCAAAGCCAAAAAATGGTGAAATTTTGCCTCCATCGGAGATGATGGAAAAAAATGGTTAGCAAAACTGTTTTTATTATACTAGACTTCTAGTGTCATAAAGTGGTTATCTTGATTTCTATTTTAGTAGTGACTTCATTCTTTACATAAATGTTATCCCCTTTGTGTTGGCACTTATTTTTAATGACATATCGTTTATTTTACAGAGTAATACTTCTTGGAAACAATTTCAGTGTTGCGTCTAATGCGTAAACTTGGTATAAAAGTTATCCCTATCATTAAGCTGCAACTAATTTTAGATAAAAGGGTATAAGCAATCAGTGTGAATTATCTTTTCGGGCAATTAAAACAGAAAGAAGGCCAGTTATTATGAAACATGAAAATAATAGGCTGTGGCCTTTTAAATGGACTCATTTAATGGTTTTGAATCAGGGGCAAACAAAGTGCCAGTGCTTGGGGTGCAGTATTAAGCAACCTTTGATATTAATCTTCAGATACTGCTGCCATGCATTGTATTTATAGAATCTTAGTTTTAAAAATGCTTTTCTTCAATGTTCAACGTGTTATAAAAACTGTTAGAATGCTACTTTAGAGCCTTCAGTTATGTTGAGGGCTTCAATTTTGAAATGCATTTTGGGTATTATGAGAATTGAATTAAAAAATTCCAATTTTTGTTGGGCTTGGTCGCTTGGAAAGATTTCCAACAATTAATTGTTATGCTGGTTACTTCCAAAAAATGGCATATTTGGTAGAAAATAATTTACTTGATTTTTAATTGAATATGCTGGTTTCTCTGTAGGGGTATCATTGTCTGAGATAAAGATATCACAAGAAATCTGTCACAATGATGAGCGTGTGTACTGGTATATTTTATTCCATTTTTCTTTTTCTGGACTTTATCTTTTGTGACGCACTGATGAACTTAAATAGTATCTCATTTCACAGTGACAATTGCAATACCTCCATTGTTGATCTCCATAGAACCTGCCCTTCTTGTTCATATGATCTCTGCCTGACCTGTTGCCATGAAATTCGAGACGGTTGCTTGCAAAAAGGTCATAGAAATGTCACACTTCAATCTCTTGAGGAGGGAAATCATATTTGTATGAAGATGTTTCTCACTCACTGGCAAGCAATGACTCAGCTAGTGAGGACCAGGTTAGCAAGCTGCCAGAGTGGAACGCGGGGAAAAATGGTGAAATCCCTTGCCCACCAAAAGAAAGGGGAGGCTGTGGATATCTCAGACTGGAGCTTAAGCATTTTTTACCTGAAAGTTGGGTTTCTGAGACAATGAAGAGAGTAGAAAGCTTACTTGAAATTAATGGCTGTTCCAATGAGCATCAAATTCCTAAGGAGCAGTGTCCTTGTTTCAGAGATGAAACTGCTAATGGTGCAAAAAATGTTAGGAAAGCTGCCTCCAGAGAAGATTCTAATGACAACTGTTTGTATTGCCCATCAGCAAATGACGTTCAGAATGGTGACCTTGAGCACTTTCAGAGACATTGGATCATGGGAGAGCCTGTGATAGTTAGAAATGCTCTTG